GGGTATTATGTCTTTGTTCATATGTTTGTAACAGGTAAAAGGAAACGAGATAAACTCATGGTCGATTTATGCAAGTCCGTCTACCAATTTTTATTAAAATCGGTTCAGATTTTTAAATATTTTAAGTAAATACTTACACTTACAGAACGGTTGTTCCATAAGCCGAGCTTAAACCAGTAAGGAAAGAAGTAAAGTCGGACGGGGCCGACTATATGATACCCTTCACCACTATGGGTATATTCAACATATGAATCCTAACAGACGTCGCATTTTAGAAGGACCAGTAAAATGAAATTAAATCCATAAACATGTCATTCTGCAACCTATACTAAATTTTTCATTTGATCAGATAATAAGTTGCTTCTAACAATGGGACAAAATTATGTAAATAAATTTAAAGCAAATATCAATCGGACACCCGTTCATTATTTGGATAAATATCTAATAAACATGAGGAGTTTGCTATAAAAAAAGCTATAAAAGCTATATCGAAAGCTAAACCGATTTAATCGAAACTTGTCACAGGTTAGGTTATACTAATTTCAGTATGTTTTGTGCATATCGGCCACATTTCGAGTTCTTGGTGCATCATTTACTTAAAATCGCGAGAAAATATATATATGGTAGCTCTATCCAAATTTGAACCGATTTCAACAAAACTTTCCACATGCTAGGTTATATTAACTTCAGTATGTTGTGCAAAATGTTTGTCAATCGGCCTAACGTTGGGTCTTTGGTGTACCATTTAACTAAAATCGGACGAATCTATATATGTAGAAGCTATATATAAATCTCAACCGATTTCAACGAGACTTGCCAGAGATTAATTTATATTAACTACAGTTCATAGTAAAAAAATTGTGTGGCAATCGGACAAACATTGGGTCTTTAGTGAAGAATTTACATAAAATCAGAAGAAAATATATATAGGAGCTACATTAAATCCGTTGAAAATATATATGGGAGGTATATCTATATCTGAATCGATTTTCACGAAAATTAACATACATCATTCAAGACTCTACTCAGTACGCTATGCCAAATTTCGAGCAAATAGAAAGATATATGTGGACTTTGGTCCACCATTTACATTAAATCGGACGAAAATATATATGGGAGCTATATCAAAACCTGGACCGATTTTCAGAAATCTTAAAACACATCATTCTAGACCTAATTCATTACGCTATGCAAAATTTCGTGCATATCGAAGGATATATAGGGATTTTGGTATACCATTTACATTAAATCGGAGGATAATATATATGGGAGCTATATCTAAATCTAAACCGATTTTCAGGAAACTTAACACACATCATTCGAGACCTAATTAAGTACACTATGCCAAATTTCGTGCAAATCGAAAGATATATATGGAATTTGGTATACCCTTTACATTAAATCGGACGAAATATATATGGGAGCTATATGTAAATCTGAACTGATTTTCCGGAAAATTAACACACATCATTAGGCTATACCAAATTTCGTGCAAATTGAAATATATATAGGGACAAATATAAAAATATATTTACATTAAATCGGACAAATATGTATATGGGAGCTATATCTAAATCAATACATCACTATATTTGGTATCAATTTAAAGGTCAACCACTCCTCTTGGATATGTTATCAACTCCTAGGGTCTACATCCTCCAGGAGTAAATATATATGCCATAGAATACACATTTTGTCATTTTTCAGGGTCAATTTGACCCGCTAATTATTGACCGATCTTTATCAAAACATGCACGCTTATTCTCTGACCCGATCCCCTTCTCCATACAAAAATTCGCGGTGTTTGGGCCATAATTGCGGCCTCTGGAGCGACCAGAAAAACCGACAAAAATTTAGTATTTGGTCCATTTTATCCCCTAAATATTAACCGATCTTTTCCAAAAACAATAGGGGTCTTCATTGGCCAGAACCCATCCTACATGCAAAATTTCGTGAATATTGGTCCATAACTGTGGCCTGTATCGTGTTTACAAATTATAATGGACAGAAGGACGGACGGACGGACACACATGTCTAGATCGACTCAGCTAGTCGAGATATGACGATCGGTATACTTAAAGGTGGGTCTAGGACCAATATTTCGCGGCGTTACAAACATTTGGGGCTGCACAAAGCTATAATACCCTGACAACATAGTTGTGTAGGCATGGTATAATAATAGAAGGTAACAGCAAGTGTTGTTGTACAAAAAACGATACAACAACCACATGGAAATTTGTTGTTGTAAGTTCTACTAGTGTCAACTCATTTGACAGAAAAATGTAAACAAACACACAAATTATCATCAAATTATTTTTATTTTGAAAATGAAATATTTTCGAATCCTCAAAATAAAAATTGAAAAACATGAATGAAAATCTATCAAATTTATATTTCTATCGCTTCCACATCTTTCCTATAATTGAGCCATTGCCATATATATGTGTAACACATATGAAAATGCTGGGAATAGCGAGTTATTCCTTGAAGAAAGATTTGCTTCCTCAAACTTTCCCAGCAGGCAGATTGAGTAAATTGAATACAAGAGCACATTTAATAAAGAACAATTTCAAATTGTATGTGTTCCCAATTTTCCTGTTGGGTAATTTTTAAAAACATAATTTGTCAAATTCATATTGACACTAGTATTACGTAGGAATCGAATCAGCTGGGATTTGCTGTTACCTTTTATAATTGTACCATGTTGTGTAGGGTATAAAAATAAAATTTATGACATTATTTTCAAATAATTTTCCTCAATATCTTGTTGTGTTATCGCTTTAATTTACAGACTTGTGTGATTTTGATATCATTTTATTTATCGTGGTGTTTAGATTATGTAGATATTTTTTTAAATTAATTTTTATATTGATACATGCCATTAATATAATGGAAATAATTACGTATTCTCCTATATCTTTATTATTTTTCTCATATTTCTTGAAAATTTGCAACTTTTCGGGGTTATTATAGTATCTGCATATTCATATTTTACGAAAGAAGTCATATATCACCGTTTTTGATCAATATAGTTAACGGCGTAATTTTAAGATTTTTTTCTTATGCCCAAAATTAAAACCTCGGTGACATTTGCGAGCAGCAACCAAAATTTTGATCGCGTAATCGAAAGGCGATTTTGTTGAAAATAGAATATTAAACAATTGTCAATATTGCCCATATATAGGTTGTAGTTTGGCATATCGGATTTTTAGATGTTGACAATCATATACGTAAAAATGGATAGGGTCAACTAAGCGGCAGTTCAGATAAGTTGTAATTGTCTTTATATAAAAAGTACACTGGTACAACATTTCTCAGTTATTCAAAACACCCATTCCTTTGATCATCTTCCATAATCATTCCCATCTGACTAGAAATGGGATGATTTTCGAAGAAACAAACCAAACAAAAACATGGCGGGTTCGCTCAGGGTATACATGCCATTCATTATGTACATAAATGTACTTTTAAAATAATATAATCACAACTTATTCTAGATTCTACTTTTTGATCAGTTTGAGAATGTGACCAAACTGATTGAAAAACTTGGAAATAACAACAGACGGCCATAACTGCGGAGTATCTTTGTGTGATATGTGTAGGTAGTCTTCGTTGGGTTCCTGGACGTAGCGAAATCAAATTGGATGAACCATCGATTGAAATACCAATGAATATGCTAAACCAGTGTTACTTTGCGGAGCACACATAGTTAATTAAAACCCCCTCCCATTTTGATATTAAATAAATTGCAAAAATATTATTGTTTATTTTTTCTAACATAATAAGCTTACGCTTGTATTTTTTATTTGTGAAATTTCTATATATATTTAGTATTTAAACGATGTATGTATTTATTTATGGTTCATAGTTTTTTTGTTTATTTTATAAATTTAGTGTAAGGAGAGCTTACATGCTAATTTGTATTTTTTGTATTTATATTTAATTATAAATAATTGAATGTTTAGTTTTGTGTTTGTGGCTACTGATTATAATCCGATTATGATAGAATTGAAAAAAAAAATAATTTAAATTGGGCACAACTTGGAAATCTATTCAAATAAATTTATCCTTTGGTCTAATAAAAATAACAAGGCCAGTAAAAATACATGATTTTCAAATCGTAGTTTTTTTGAAACTACAATATCCCTTTTAGGCAACATTCAAATATTGTATGTTAATGACCAAATAATATATAAGCTATATTTGTAAAAAGTGTGGAAAGTATAAAGAAACTAAATTAAAAATAAATACAAAACGAAAGAAACTACATTCTATGGATAAAGAAAACAAAAACAATAATTTGATTTTGTAACGTTTGCCAGATTTGGGTGGTTTTTCTTTTGGATTCGTTTGGCTTTAGGCGATCTTTTATTTACAAAAAGCCTAAAGAATCAAAAAGAAAAAATAATAATTATTTTTGCGATTAAAATGTAAACCAAAACGTTGTGTATTAATTTTGAACATTACATAGAATGGTAGCGGAAAATCCGTCCATTAATTATTACAAAAACAATATTTGCTTTTCTTTTGCTTTTTAATTGAAAAGAACAAAACTTATTTATGGCAATTCATTTACATCGTATTAAAAAGAATGGAATTAAAAAGTAAATAATATAATCAACATTAAGAATAATTTTGAACAAATTTTAAAAAAACTGATTTTTTTTTTGTTAAAATCAATGGCTTTGTGAATTACCAGCATATTCCCTTTGAGCAGCCACACAACAAACATGGCCTTTTAAATAAAAATTTAAAATTTTTATCAAAACTAGTTTCAGAATAGTTGTGTTTTTATTGTGGATAGAAATTCAGTTACATGTTTTGTTTCCAGTTTAATTTGGAATTTTCAAAATTCCTTTGGAATTCCATTTTCAACTTTTTTGCATGGAAATTTTTGTTGTTAATGGAATAGAAAAAAAACAATTTAATTAGTTTAGTGGATTGTTTTGTGGCACATTAACAGAAAAAAATAATAAAAATATTAATTCTAATTATATTCTAAATTTTCTTAAATACGGTTGTTGTTGTACGATGATTTCTTGTATGCTCTATGATGAGGTGACTGCTAAAACATCACTGCTACTGCTGCGACTCTTGTTCGAGGATGAGGATGATTTGGAGGTTTTAATGCCGGTCAATGTCACGGAACCGGGGCCATTGAGAAAATGCATTTTAACGTGTTTCTGCAACTCGGGCTGAGAATCGAAATACACTTGGCAGAGATCACAGGAGAAACGGGATTTAACAACGGCATTGGCAACAACATTATTGGGTTTACGATTTTCCGTTGATGAGGCATCATCGTCATCGTCAAACTCATCGCTATCATTGTCATCATCGTCGTCGTCGTCATCATCTTCATCATCCATCTCGGAATCGTTTGTACGACGTGTTTGCTGCTGTTGTTGCATTTGCGCTTTTGATTGTTGAACGTTTGTTGGTGCTGATCTTTGCCTCAACGCTGCATGATCATCTTCATCGACTTCTTCATCATCCACGTCGTCATCATCATCCTCGTCATCATCATCGTCGTCCTCATCCTCATCGTCATCATCATCCTCACCATCGTCATCATCATCGCCCTCATCTACTTCTTCATCTTCTTCGCCACCCACAGTCTGTTGGGCACCCACAGCTAAATCATCGAATTCACCCTCCAGTATTTCTTCTTCCAATTCTTCTTCTTCCTCCTCCTCGTCGTCGTCATCATCATCAGCATAGGACGATTGTTGTTGTTGGGCATTTTGTCGTACATTGTCATTGTTATTGTTGTTACTTGACACATGTCCTTCTCTTTCATTGTCCTCGCCATCTTCGTCGTCATCATCATCATGTTCATATTGGTCTTTGTTGGCACTGTCGCGGGAATCATCCTCCATTTGAACCATGGGCTTTTGTTGCTGCAGGCCAGGTAATTTAATCTTCTTAAATTCGTGAACTTCATGGGCGGATTGATTTTGCTGTTGTTCTGAATTATCGTTGTTTTGTTGCGGCTGAGGTTTCTGTTGTCCGGCTTCATTATATTCGACAGGAACTATCACCTGCTCCTTCATGTGATTATGCAGATGGTTAATAAGTTTCTCTTTGCGTGACACATAGGCACCACACAAATCACAACCCCATTGAAATGGTCCAAATGGTTTCATAACTCTGGCCTCACCCACTTTATGTTCAATCCATTCGGCTTTCGATTCAAATTTAACATTGCACTTACGACACATATTCGGTGGATCACATTCAATTCTCGGTGGTTCGGGTAGATTGCCAATTTCGTTCTTGTGCAACTCGAAGAGATGGCGACGTAAATTGTTATTGCTAATAAATGTGGACGGACAATATTGGCATTTAAGTTCTCGTTTGCGTTTCTGGGATCGGTTCAGGACATGCGACGTTGAAGAATTGATCGAATGTCGCGGCATTAAACCCACCGCTTGTAATCCCAGTAGATGTTGATGGTTGTTCGATTTCTGGTGATGTTGATTCTGTTGTGCTGATTTGCTGTGCGGCAGGCTGTTGTTGTTGTTGTGGACTTGATTCGCTGATAGATGATCGGCATCGTTCTGTTTGGAAATGAGACAAGAAAAGGGGAGAGAAAAACAAAACTAATATATGAAAACAAATTCTTATTGGAATGGTTGCAACCATCACATTGTGGTGCATCGAAGATCATCATAATTTTTGTGACTGGTGTGGAGGCAAAACACTTATCCAGAAAAAAGTATATTAGTGGGTTAGAAAATGTCCATTGATTGGTTCTTGGTTGATGCACATAAAAATGCTAGTATTCTTGCATTTGTTTTGGTTAGCACAATTTAGACGATGAATGGAAAATAAAAGGTAGTTATTATTTGTAATAATTTAAAAAAATATATATTGTTCTTTCGATTTTATTAAAGACATTTTGAAAAATTGTGTTATAAATTGAATAAGAAAAATTGGATTTAAAATTGCTTGTGATGTAAATCTAACATGGATTATGAACAATTTTAAATAATGAAATCCTTGAGAGTCTCTTTTTAATTCTACAGACTATAGATTAGCATAATATCCTCTTCGAAATAAAAAAAAACATTAAGAAAAACAGTAAGAAAAAATAATTAGAAGTCATTTCAAAGGGCGCTCAATCTATTCATAAAGATCTATAAGTAACCTATGAAAAAGAATTTCGAGTTGAAGCTCAGTTGTATAAGAATGTTTATGAATTAATCTGTCAACACTACGGTTATTCAATTCAATCAGATATGAGACAGGTATGCCGAAGATCTCAACAAACTTGCGAACATAAATGGTACATTTTCAAATCAATCGGAGAATATTTAAACCTTTCCAAACAAGTAGATTCCATAGTAGAAAAATTGTCTGGAGAAAATAATATGTTACTAAAAAGCCTATTTGAAAAGGGTGATCCCTAATATCCATTATTGTCAAATACGTTATTGTCATATCGTTTAAAAAATGTCGCCCAAACATCTTATCCAAATTTTATATCAAAGCCACGAGCAATTTAAATCCAATCGGATTTTCCATTAAATTTTGATATTCAATTTTGATTATTTCCTCCTTGAAAACTTAAGGAGGCATGACAAACAATTAAATTTTAATCCAAAACTGTTGCATTCCAAACATTTCTTGTGTGTGTTTGTGTATGTAAAGGACATTTCTAATACGCGCGTTGCACTTTCTTTTTGGTTCACTACTACATCAAAGCCTCACTGCACAAGTCCAAAAGCTCACCTGTTTGTTATCACCTCTGAAATGCCATTTCCTATGTACTTTAAATGCTGTCATTTGTGTAAAGGTCTTTGAACACAAATCACATGCGTACTCGCCATTGTCATTAACCCGATCCATATAGAATTGATTGGGATCGGCCGGACCGGTGTCGAACATTGCCGTCTGGTAGTTTAATTTTCATACTACCACCAGCAGCTGCTGTTTGCTGTAAATTTGTGGATATCGTATCAGCATCGGGAGCATCGCGTGAATGATCATCATCGTCGTCTTCATCGTCGCCGGTTTTGTGTTTATAAATAGCCGACGAGGCAGAAGACTGTTGTGCACCGCCAGCGCCACCTTCATTAGCAGCTGAATTAATGGGTTTACGATTACATGTCGGTATGTGATGATCCAACATTTGACTGTCGAAGAAGACTTTTTTACATAAAACACATTCAGATGGTTCGGGTATTTGAGGATGTTTTTTATAACGATGTACCTGCAAGAAAGGGAGATAGACATCAATTAAAATTTGCAAGGGAATATAGATTATTTTTTAGGAAACTTACCCAAAGACTTTTACGTCCACTATACACATTGCCACAATCCTTGCAGGAATAATCATTGGAATCAAATTCATCATGGGAATTAATGTGTATGGCCAATTTTTTGTTGGTATTAAAGTTGGAGGGACAATATTTACATTGATACCAATACAGCGGGCCAGAACTGCCCTCACCTCCGCCGCTAACACTAACGGGAGTAGATATACCAGACAAATCAGCTGCCGAAGCATCTGCCCCACCACCGCCAACCGATTCATCCATATTATAGTCATCACCATCGTTTGAAACACTACGTTCCGCACCTCCCTGCTTCTTATGGACATTGGCCAAATGATGTTGCAACTCAACATCGGTACGATAAACAATAGAACATATTTCACATTCATATTGTTTAATGATCATATCATCCTTCAGCAAAGTGTTGTGAATCTTAAACATATGCACCTTCAGACCCTTCTCATAGGCAAATTCAGCATCACACAGTTTACATTTGATAAACTGAACATTACGTATCTGATGATCATTTAACATATGATAACGATAC